TCCCAGGGCTGGCCAGCCACGGGCCCCAGTCCCAGCCAGGACAGGCTCAGCTGTAGCATCCTGCAGGGCAAATGGGCAGAGGGTGAGATTCTGAGGCCCGGGAGACAGCGGTGGACTGCCAGGGTCACTGGAAAAGGGGGAGTGACTTAGAGGAACTTTTCTCCATCCTCCAAATGGAAGAAGAGTTGATCCAGAGTGAGAGCACCAAGGGGAGCCACAGCTGCACACCTCACTTGGAGCTGTCCATTGAATTCAGCCAAGGGAAGCATCATCAGATGGGCTCCATGGTAAGAGGAGCTGACCTCTTGCTCTGCAGGAGGGGAGGGGGTGGGACAGCCAGTGAGGTCAAACCTGTTCTACTTTTTCTGCCTCCACCTCCCAAAGGGTGATGCTAACCAGGGTCACGGTTAGGCGTCCCGTCCCCGTCAGCTGAAGCCTAGACTTGGGGGGGATCTCCTTCAGGGCTCTAGGCAGCTTTGCCTTTTCCTATTCCCCCGACTCCACAACGTGACCTGACTGCTGCCCCGCAACACAACCTTCTTCTCTTCCAACAACACTCGGTAAACTCCTATTCGTCCCGCAAAGCCCCCTCCTACAGGTCTCCTCCCTTCTTCAAGTCCTCCCAGAGGCTGGGAACCGCAAGAACACCAGCCGAAGGCCAGTGAACCCGAAAAGGATGCCGCAGGAAATGCTGGCGTGCACAGCGGGGTGCACGTGGCGTGCCTGTGCTGGGGGTCCACGTGCGACGCCCCCAGGGACGCCCCCTCTTCCGTCCCGGCCCAGCCTCAGCCGTCAAGCCTGGGGTGCGTCTCCGCCCCCAAGTTTGCAGACGCGCGGGCAGCGGGGCGGGGCCCCTGCGCACTGGGCTCTGCCGGGCTGAAGTCCCGCCTCCAGAGGGCAGCCTCTAGCTATTGGTTCCTCGGAAGACTGACAGGCACTTTCACCAATCATTCCTCCCCACGGGCGGGCGGAGCCTGGACCGCGGAGCTGGCGGGGGCGGACAGGGAGCCCTCCCTGCGGTGACGTCGGGAGCCTCTCGCGGCGTGTTGCCCTGGCAACCGCGTTTCCATCTCGTCGGGTTTCCGGGGGGCCGCCCCCTCCCATTCAACTTTTTCCTCAATGGGGTGTTGGGGGGGGCGGAAGGAAGCGAAGGACCGACCCCGCCCCTCTGCGATTTGGCAGCCTTTGCTGTCTGAGCCTCGGTTTACCACTCCTTCCCTTCCCTACCTCGCGCACTGGGCCTTCACCTCGGGGTGATGGCGATCGCCCCCTGGGGTTGTGGTCTGTACAGGCTGAGGGCGAGCGGGGTGCAGAATTGTGATGGAATGATCTGGGGTTGTCTTAGCCTGACAGGGTCGTGACCTTAGTAGAGTCCCCAACATACAGGCACCATCTCCAGGGGTAGACCTTGAGGTCCCCTGGGATGCCCCCCGCTTGTGGACATGGCTGGCCTCCCTTCCTGGTCCTCCAAATAGCGCTGAGCACCAAGTGGCAGCTGCCCCTCCAGGCCTGACCCACTGGGTCTTTCCTACCTTCACCTACCTCGTATGGCCTCAGATAGCCCCAAATCTTTGAGCCCATTGATTATGAACTCTCCAGGGATCAGCCTCGGCTGGACATCCGCCTTCCTGGTCTGGAGATGTCACAGGCCACCCTTGGGAAGGCACCTGCCTCCTCACCCACTGAGGCTCTCGGGGAGAGGACTAGAGAATGTAGATTCCAACCACAGGTCTAGACCTCTATGCCCAGTGTTGGGTTAGGGTCCTCAGTTTTCTGTACTGTAAAATGGGAGTTTTACTCAAAGAGCTCACTAGAAGAATTAAGAGGCTGAGTGTTAACTGTCTCAGCCCAGCCCCAGAGGAGCCCTTTGTGGGACCTTAGGGAGCCCAGACTGGCTTGTGCAGGCGGTCCACACTTGGGCAGCTCCCAGGCATAATCTGATTGTTGTGCCCAGATGGTGCATGACCCTCAGAGGTGGAAC